TGAAGTTTGTTTCTCTACACACTTATGGAGTTGGAGGAGAGATGTGCAAATCCTGCATAACCTGCTTGGTGGTTGTACAAAGATTCAGTAAAAGATAAGGAACTAAAATTTATTCCCTCTTAAGCTGTACTTAGCTGGTATTTGCATAAGCTCATGCTTAAAAAAACCCTTGGTCTCAGCAGAGCATAAACAGTAAAGATTAAATTTAGCTCATATGAACATAAAAATTACTAAAATAATAGCAAAATACCATACACTCTGCTAAAGCAATAAAAGTAATGTGGACAAAAATCCCTCTCTGATATAACCCCAGTTGTTTTGTTGCAATTTGAATATGTTCCTATTTTAAATGTTTTCCACTTTGTTTTCATCACAAAATGAACTCCCTTGTCTATCTGAACCTTAGAGGGAAGTTTTAAATTTCGGTGTAACTTAGATACATTTGTGATATTCCAGCTCTCCATTTCTGTCCCATGAAGTTCAAATCAAATTCAAAAAATGATTGCAATGGTCCAATCCCTCTCATTTACAAGTGCATTAGTTAAACAGTATTCATTAAGCTACCATTCTTTATCAACTGCATTGCCCTCAGAAACTAATTTTTAAGATGATACATTTATATATATGCAAGAAATGAGTTTAAAAAAAAAAAAAAGAAAATATTCTTACCTGTGCTGATGAGTTTTGCTTTTTGTTCTCTCCTGCACTTATTGTCTTATAGGAAAAAACAATTTGTCAGATCTTTGGGAAAAGGAACACACCTAACCGTTGTTGCTGAGACATTTAGTAAACGTTTGGTACTGTATAAATATAATTCCACAAAACTCTTTTCAAAAAAACATATAACCTCATTGTTGCTATAAAGTGTTTTTTAAGACTACTTTTATTTTCATCATGGTATTCATCTTAATCCTCTTCAAATGTGAAAGTATGGCCATTTCAAGCTTTCATATACTAACAGTAAATCAAGTCTGAACTTTTAGTCTCTCATTCTGTCTTCTGTTTGATTTATTATTTAGATGAACTGGTTTTTACTTTTTATATAATTTGGAAGAAACAGTAACTTGTATTAAACATAATTAAATGTCAGTCTCGATACATTTCTGATTCTGAATGGAAACCTCAGCCTAATTTTTAGCGTATTTTTGGTTTTGCAGTTTTTCCATTGAGTTTGCTGTGACTTAGAAGTTTTCTTTGTATTGTACTTGTGACAGTTTTAAAGCTGTCTTGAAAGCAGAATTAGTCTTTGCAAAAAGTGGGCCAACATTTTTATTTTCTGTAATTGTTTCCATTTTACAGGTCCTTATTTACTGTATGTAATATGCTGTGTTGTAGTAGTGCCCCAACAATTCTAAATAGGGCTCCATCTTGCAGAGGCCACATACGTCTAGGAACTAATACTATGAATAGCTTGGAAAGACTATGATTTAAGAAAGTAGAGCTATGCCAAAAAAGGGAGAAGTAAGCATCTAGGAAGTTCAGTTTTAGCTCTTAACACTTTTCCAGACTGTTAATTTAGAGGAATTGCAAAATCTTGTTGCGTAAGATTTTGGCTGGGTTCTTGCCACTGAATAAAAGCATCCGTATTCTTTACCTGTGTTCAGGAGGAAGGAGCGTTTGAGCTACGTGTGTTTAAATTGCCTTTGTGCATGTAAGACATTGTAATTCTTGACTCAGATAAATAGCTTAGTGGAACTTTTCGTGATTAGGCAGGAATGTAATTGTGCTTTTGCAGAATTCTGGGAAAGAGGCCATGCATTGATGGAAGAGATCTTTTAACTTAATTCACAAGGGAAACGTAAGGATTTAACTGCTGTTTTAGAGACGTAAGTCAAGGAAAGCATCCACCTAACCCTAAATTCCTTCAAAATGTCACTTTATATGAAAAAGATATTAGTGTCTGTAATTCTGCTGTTAGACATACCCAGAACCATCCAGGCTTTGAAAATTAAGCTATTCTTTTTCTATGACATAACATTTCGCCACTGTGAGTATTCCTGCCTATATTACTCCTAAGCACATTGCATTCTCCACAAAACAGAACTCTTCCCTTCCATTCAGACCTTTGACACAAATGTGACAGGCACACTTTCAGATACTTCCTTTGTGTGTCTGGACTTGACAGGCCATACTAAGGTTCAGACCAAAGGTTCACCTCGTCCAGCATTTCATGTCCATGAGCTGCCAGAAGAAATCTAACATGGCATCCCTAAAAGCTGGATGATTATTAGATATGGTGTTATAAATCTACTTTTTGTGGAAGCAGTCACAATTTCTGTTCTCTATTTTCATTTTTGTTTGAATTCTGTTTTAGTTAGGAGTCAGACCCTGACTTCCATAGCTATCTCAGTGCTTAGACACTTGTCTTTAAAGTAAACTTGCTATTTTCTGTATGTGTGTGTCTCCCTCCTTCCCCCAGACATTCACTTGTCTGAGGAGACACAGAGCAAGAGACATCCGTGGCAAACTGGATCATTTCCTCTCTTGGATGGTCTCCTACGAAATAGGAGACTTCTGCTTAACTCAAGTAGAGTAGAGATTTGAACTTCTGTCTCTGGGCTGGAGGTGAGGGACACTTGATTTTAATCTGTTTGCTTGAAGCGTCTCCTTCCCCCTTACTTTCTTCTGAGGAACCAGGCATGACTTAAGCAACTGAGTTCAGAACAGGGTTTATGATTTCCAGATGGAGGGCAGTGCTTCCCTCAGTGCAGGGTTTGCTACCTAATTCTCTTTCAGGGAATGGGTCCAACCCCTGTGCAGCCATCTGCTTTTTTGGTGGCTTCTGTTTTAAGTATTCCATTCTTAGATGTCTAACAATACAGTGCATTGTACAGAGAGTCAGCACACACATATATTTATGCTTTAATTCCAGAAAGTGACAAATCACCTGGAAGTTAGGTGTTACAGTGTTGAATAAGTCAATGTCATTATGAACCAAGCTTCAATTTTTTTTTTTTTAAGAGATGCAAATGAAATCTGTTGTGGCCTGATACTAGTCATAGTCTGATACCAGACTGAAGATGTACTAGATACCTAGATAACTAGCATGTGATTTATTTAACTATGTGAGCTAGTCCCCATGACATTCTTTTAGAGTCCGTGGGGAAAAATAAGCATCTCTACAGCATAATTCATCGCTTTCTAAAGCTACTTCTAAGCCAGTGAACATGCCTTGTGCCCAAGACTTGCCTCATTTTTCCCACTAAAACTACAGCAAGCTGTGGTAACTAGCCCAGATGGAGATGCCTATACTGTAAAATGTCTGAAGTTTGGTGACGTGAATCCTTCCCCTCATGCTTGCTGTCAGAATATGAAATGTTAAATGTGACGTTGCAGTGTGAAATGTCATTGGAAAAAGAGAGAAAGGAAAGGGGAAGAAATTTATCAGTTCTTTCAAAACCAGTATGTTTGAAACAAGACCGTGTTTTAATGTATGATCATTATACATTAAACGAAGCGAGGATTTAGATTTGATTGCCAGATGGGAATATTTTTCCAAGTTTCATTTCTTCAAGTTTTCAAGTACATTTCTTAGTTGCCTTTGACAACATAAATTGTAAGACTGGTATATTACAGTGCCATATCAAGGAAAGTAGAGTCTAGAGCTCATGCCTGTTTCCTTACAATGCTACCAACACTTGCCATCAGTGATCAAGTATGGTCTTACCACTAGCAGTCACTAACAGGTTCATTTCTCAATGTTCCCTTCGTGTCCTCATTTTCGTCCTTATGGCTGACCATTAAGAGAAGAGTTCAACCATTTGCTCCTCCTTGCTAATTTCTCTAAAAGCTGTTCACATTTATGACTCTGCATCTATTCTGTTAAGTGAGAGAGGTCCAAATAGGAGGCCTGAGCCCTGGATGCTTTGCTGTCTATGCTACTTATGAGCTGTTAGTTCATTCCTTGACTCCATGTTGAGGTACTCCAGCTAGAGCTTGCTAACGTAAGTCTGCTATGAAGAGGGCTGACCGTCAGCAGTGTAAACATGAGCCAGTCTATAACATTTTTCTTCAAGGACAGGCCTGGTTGTTGTGGCCATCTTCTTTTCAGCAGACAGGTGTAGCTGAAGCTTAAGGCTCTTTCTAGACATTAGCAGTTAGCACAATTGACTGACTGTTGCTGGTACATCCTTTTAACTAATTGTATCACTGTTTCTGGAGTAACTGTTGGATGGGAAGAAGTACCTGGCATATAATAATGAATTGCACTGCACAGCGTGAAATACTATAAATTGTTCCTATACTTTAAATTTCTTTCATTGCCTTCAGAATAAATTGCAACACAAGTGTTACTGTCTTTTTAGTTCCTTTGGAAGGTCTAAGAAGTCAAAGCCAATTTGATGAGATGAGAACGAGTTACATTAGAGAACTGGTGAAGGCAATTGGTTTGCGCCAGAAAGGCGTTGTGGCCAACTCACAACGTTTCTATCAACTTACCAAACTGATGGATTCCATGCATGATGTAAGTCTACTTGTTAATGTGTTTTGCTTTTTATGTAAGAAGGAACTAGTATTTCTTAAAAAATAATTTTATGGAAAGTGGCTAGTCAGCATTTCTAAATAACAAAAGAAAAACCCCTACATTTTTGCTTTAGTGTGTATATTTGTGTGAATGGATAGATATATATTCAGCATCAATATATATTGTATATATATTATATGGTATACAAGATTTAAGTATTTGAGAAACATGCATTTGAATGCTACCATTTTGTATCATTATTTCTGTAACATAACTAGCACAGTTATGGTTTTTGGTAGGGGGCGGCGTGTGTGTGTGTGTGTGTATACATGTTCACAAAGATATTTAAATAATGCAAAGAATAGGCAATTCACGTTGCAAAATCAGGCTACTAAGAATTAGAGAAAGACAACCAAGATTGGTTTTGCAACCTTAGTTCAACTACTTTTATGTCTGTATTCTATGCCATTTTTTCAGTAGCTGTCTATATTTGGGAATTGAGTAATCTTTGAGAACTCTAGTGGTAATATCAGAGATTTGTAAGTATCTTAAAAGATGCAGCTGAAGCCTTTCCACATCTCTGAGAATCCAGCATGTATCCTATTGGCTTAACATCCATTAAAACCGAGGAATGACATTTTGTATAAACCTTTGTCCACATGAATATTGTTTTGTAATGGCTTGTGTAGCTCCACAAGAGAGGCAAAAACCAGAAGTACAGGGCCATATCTGACGGTTTTAGCAAGTGCTGGGGAAGTGGCACTAAGATAGTTTAGGAAGAGTGCTTTTGAGTTCAGTGCTGGTTGTGAGGAGCTCACAAGGAGTTCAGGGAAGGATGTGATCTTTGCATGTTTGTATTCTTCTGCACTCAGCAAATCTGCGTTTTATTTTAATTGTTCATGAATGGATTCTCTTATTCATGTAAAACCTTTCATTGTCACTAATTCCCCCTTCTGACAGGGAAAATAAGAAACCCCTTTGAGGATCCCATTTATGGGAGTTAAGAGAGGTAACAATATTGATTATTATGTGGTTCACCAGGTGGTCTGGAGTCTTTGGATCATGGTCTGGAGTCTTTTGATCCACTGCACAAACATCTCCATCAGTTTCTGCTATCCATAGAACTCACATTCACCATTTATCTATTACATCATCTTAGATACCAGCAAAAGGAGAATGAGACAAGTACAAAAGCATCCTTACAGGTGAAGGTAGACAATAGAAAATTCTGAAGGGAGGATATGGAGCTTAACTTTAAGTATTTACTGGTAGTCAGACTGCAGTCATCACTGTCAGTGATAAACCCTTCCATGGAGTTCAGTCAGTCACCTTTCACTTGCAAAAACAAGTCCTGGCCAGTATAATACTCACGGCAGCCCTGTGCTCAAGGAACCTGTTTGGCTCAGTCTTGCTTGGGATAAAAGGTCTTCCTGCCTTACCTGTAGTAATAATTGGCAATCTGAGTGTCACAGCTTCCAGAGGAAAACTCTTTTGAGTGCTGGGCTGTAGAGTCAATCTCTTAATTTCAAATACTTAAGTAAAATAGCCTTACTGGAAGTGAGTGAGGCTTGCTGCAAAATACCCAGCAAAGTGATGGTCAGGGTAGTGTTTGGTCCATAGAGTATCTTTGTTCAAGTCCCTATTTCAGCTCAGGCTGATAAAAGTGATGGGAGATGCAAGGAAAAGATAATCAAACTGGAGAGACTGTGTGTTACTAAAGCCTAGAGTAGCAGAAATAGTACAATGTTTGATAACATAAACGTCACGAGTCTAGTCTGCCCTTGATTGGTTTAGGTGGGCTTGGTAGTGTAGGTTAATGGTTGGACTGGATGATCTTAAAGGTCTTTTCCAACCTAGACGATTCTATGATTCTATGAGTCTTAAAGAAAAACTATACAATTGGAACTTCTCAGAAAAGATAGAAGAGGTGAAGTAGTCACATATATTGAGCAGTTGCTTTCAAGGGACGAGGACCTATGGAGTTTAGTGTTTGCGGCATACCCAGATATGATCATAACCAGAACCGTGGAAAAGCTCACAAGGAAATAGTGAATGCTGTCCCTCAGAGCAGTGTTTGAATGGCATATAGTAAAGAAGGCGTGGAGGCACGTGTTGAACATGAGGATAAAATGAAAGATTGAATACTTGTTTAGTAATTGCCATTGTTCATGGTGCATGCCATAAGTGAGGATGATAACACTTTATAATATTAGTGAGGCACTGTTTTTATATGACATACCATTTAGCTAGATTTACGACTTTTTGCCATGGGAGGATATCTTAATAGGGAATGACAAGTACCCACATTATTGATTCAAGGAATGACAGAGGAAGGTATATGATGATGTCAGTTGATGGTTGTATGAGATAAGTGATTGACAGCATGTTTATCTGGCTGCATTACTGTTAGCCTGATTTATCATGTTTGTATTTTATTAAATCCAGCTAGTGAAACAGCTCCATCTCTTCTGTCTGAACACATTTCTCCAGTCCCGTGCACTGAGTGTTGAATTCCCCGAGATGATGTCAGAGGTCATTGCTGCCCAGCTACCCAAGATTCTGGCAGGGATGGTGAAACCTCTTCTCTTTCACAAAAAGTGAAATGTCTTTTCTCTTGTCATAGAGATGATTTCTGGGTCATTTTTTGTTTGTTTATTTTGGTCAAGATTTTGCAATGTCAGGACTTCAGTATATTTGTCATACTTACCCTGCCTACTGCTTTATACTTGTAACATACACAAGCCATTTAAGCTTGGTGTACATATCGTGAGTGCCTGATTCCTTAACTGCAAAAATCACAACAGTCATAAGAAATGTTTTGTAAACTTGGCTAGGTTGCTTTTTAGACATGCATAAGAATGACAATGAATAGAGTTTTCAGATTTCTAAGAACAGTTATCTTATACATTTTTCTTACATATTACACGCTCTCAAATTTCTGATATGACATGGTGTAAACTTTTTACTTTAGTACATTGTGTGCATGGGTACATGTGGGCATGTGCATAATACCAGATTTTTGAGGAATTAAAATAAATATTGCCCACATTTTCTCACAGATATTTCACTTTTTATTCACTAATCTGCCTCACAGAAATATGCTTTCAAAGTCAGCTGTCCAGGATTAAGTAGGCGTCACTGCAATACCTTCATGAGTAACTAAAGTGCTAGCCACAAAATATACATTCATATTCGTGTCTGTGCTCAATACTGCATTGAAACTCCGAGTTCTGCATACTGAACTGTACCGCACCATTCAGTGCAGCTCTCCTTCAAAAATTGGAAAGCTTAGGAAAATTTCAGTGGGTATTACACCAGAAGTAATATGTATGCAAACCCACTCAGCTTTGGTTTTTGTTATTTTCCTTAAAAGTTCAGCACTTACAAAGCTAAATCACTTAGCTATAATCTTAAATTCATCAACTTTAAAATTCTGTATTTCAGAAGCTTAAAGTAGAGATGTTTTCACTGACTACAACTCTTAATAATCTTAATGTTTTGAATTCCAATGCTGAATACTCAAACAGCCATTAACATCAAATTATGGTGAGATTAAATGCGAAAAGAAATGGAAAATATGACTACAAACATTTTGATACACATAAGACTCATTTCAGTACTATTTAGTGGAGCTACATATTTTATATTTTAAAGGCATGCCATTATAATTGGGGTAACTGTAAAAGAGGAATTGGACTAAATTAGCTTTATACATTCAAGAAGAATGTAATGTTTTACCATGGAAATGAAATGTTCGACTGAAAAATTATAATGTGGTGGTGGTTGTTCCTTTGATATGGATGTGAAGCAACTCATGCATTTAAGGCAGTAAATTGCTGATATATTCAAACAACAGAGAAACAGATAAAGCCCAAGAAGAATTTATGAGACTATTAAAATACGACAAATTTTGCCAGTCACTAAAAATGATACTCCAATTCTCTAACAGTGTAGGAAATGGTGCGTCCTACTTGGGTATATGGTGGCCATACGCTTTTGCTCTTCCCTGTTATATGTTGGATGCATCTGTCGTGTGATGGCATACTGTTGATGGTGTGTAGCTTGGTCTGTATCCTTGTCACATGAACAAAGGCTCGCTGGACATAATTTCAGTATCCCTGATTAAATCAGGGTGCCCCTCATTAAAAGTATCAATGATGTTACTTGTTCATAAAAATTACCTCCCGATTCTTGAAAAAAATGTGGACAACTAACAACTAAAGGGAGATGTAAAGGTATCCTTACAATTTCCTAAAGCCAATCAAGAAGAAGCTACATTACGACTGGGGGGATAAAGACGTTTTTGAGATTCCCACATAGTAGTACAAAACCCACTAGAGTTGGTGCAAAGATGAGGCCCTGGATAAAATGGTATAAGCAGACTTTTGTGTTAGTTGACTAGGTTTGTCATTTCTAACTGCCCAGAGACAAGCAATTTCTCTCATATTCAATACAGTCTGACTTTTAACTGTGATCCTTAAAGCAATTATGTTTTAATAAATAACACAAAATTCTTTATTTCTACATGTTGAAGTTTTTTCTTTATTTTTCTTTGTATTTGCGTTCAGTAATTATGGAGCTTAGTAAAAAAGTCCATTTCAACCATTCCACTTGTGTGCAACAACAATATTTTCATGCATTCTTTGAGAATTTAAGCATTGCCACATGATTTACCATTGAATAAACAGACTGTCTGTGTTACTGTTTAGATTAAACTGTTAACAGGAACTTCCCACACTAAAAATTGTTCCTTGACACCCTAATTCTGAAACTGGAACACAGAGCAGGCAGTATGCTTGCCTTGGGAATACCCCAGATCAGCCTACATCTGCCTTTTACTCAAGACCTAAAATTTGTTCCAAGTGGCTGCCATGTCACTGTGTCCCATAAATATGGCAGATTAGTCTGCAATGCTCTATACGTGTCTCAAAGGCAAAATCAAAAAGGAAGAATAGATGTCTTTGGGGAATAGATAACAAAGTTAAAAACATTTTCAAATTGTATTTCCTAAAGATCTCTAACTCACAGAGAAAATTCCCAGAACTTCATGGTCATGATAAATGTAGTACATAAGACAGAACAAGTTTGGCTAAATGTGGCTACTATGTGAATTTGAAAGTCCTGTATTCATTACTTGATTGTCTGAAGTTAAAAAAAACCCTGTTTTAATTTGAGAACTTCTAGCTTTGAGCCTCGTTTCTAAAATTGCCTTTAGTCTCCATTTTGATACCACCATTTCCTCCGGATTACACAGATACCATGAACAGTGATCAAAACACAAGATTGCTTCCTTCCCTCTAGAAATCTCATGTACTGTGGCTTTTCAGCACTGCGGCAATGTCCAGAGAGCCATCAGCAAACTATTTTTTTCTTTAAGTTTTTTAGAGAGTATGAGGCTTTTTAGTTGTCTGGATTTCTCTGCATTAATATTTGTTTAAAGATTAAGGTATTTTTTTGACGTGAGCTTTACAAATAGGTCTAAATAAAACATCTTGTAGTGCTTCTCAAGATACTGAATAAGGCATAACAATGCTGGATCTTGTTCTGTTGCATTTTGCGTACTAGAAATAAGAGGTTTTGGCAGAGGGACTTTTTTGTTTTCCGACATTAACAATATGCCTGATTACATTTTAAAGGTATGAGACCTGTTGTACTAATTAGAAAGCTTTCCATCTTCTGCAGATTGCAGACATAACTTTTTGTCTGAGCTATCACTAGAAGTTCTTCATCTTACACTAAATAATGCAAGCTATGCCTGAAGCTAACCCTCTCCTATTCTGTACAGTTCCGGTATTTTTGACCCAGGGCCTTCAGCGTTGCCTTCTGCTAGTACTTCAGTGAAACAAACAAACAAAACCATGAAGTCAGCCGTTTCCTTTGAGCTCTGCTGTTGTTACTCAGCTTCGTAGAGGCATCACATTTCTGGTTTTTAAGGACTGTGTTGAAGGTTGAAGTGGCGGCTGTGTTTGGGGAGCTGTGACAATGCAGTGCAGAGAAGAGGAGACCTGCGGCCCCGGCCAGCTGTCCCGCTCTTTCACACCAAGTTGCTTCACAGCTGTACCTGCTGTGCTCGAAGAGGTCAAACGCTTGGCTCATGCTTTCAAAGATCTTAGCTGCATCAACGGTTTGCCCAGCCTTTAGGGAAAGGGGAATGTGGGTTTGTTAACACCTAGTCCATGACAGAGGGAAATGTAGTCTGAGAAACTTCCAATCGATTTCATGGGGCTTTGGATTGGTCTAGTTGTATGTGTGCATAATAAACTGAAGCTTAGGTATTTTTGCAGTCCAGCTGTTCCCTCAGCTGCACTGCAGTTACGATTTCTTGTCTTATATCTACAGTAGAGAAGCTGAGAGTTCAGTTTGTATTTTCTGACCAGTCAGTGCTTCGTTAGTACCTTAGTTCTTTTTTTGTTTGTTTTACAGTAATATGTCTCTCTCAATTATCTTTATTGGGAAGGTCAGCTGCTTTCCTGTGTTCCTATCTAAAACCAAGTATTTATCTCAGTTATCAGTGACATATTGGTAGCATCAACAGTAATATCTGTAGGGATCCTTCCTTCCCGTACTCTCCTACCTGCACAAACCTAAGGTTAGTTTATCCCCAGAGCAGGAGAGGATGGGGCTGCACTCCACCCACGCGGCAGCGCAACTCCAAGTACGCATTTCTTGCCCGACACGCCATTTGTGGCACGCTGACCTTTCTTTCCTTCCCATAAGTCAGCTTGCAGCCACCGAGCCAATATCCAAAGCCCTCCCAACTTTCCATGGCTCAAAAGCCTGTGTGCATACTGCCAGGCCAGACTGTCAGCGTTGCTGGATTTATTGGTTTGTACTGCTTTGTGTCATGATGACCTGACTTGAACAGAGGGCTTGTTTTTAATTTATTTCTCTTTTTCCCCTTGGAAAAAAAAGTCATATTTTAGGTGTTTTTTATCTTAAAATTTGTGAGGGTTTTTTTTTCAATGAATGCTATTAATTTATTAGATTGACATTATTTGCATGCAGAATGGTACTGTAGCTTTTCAGCTGCTTGGCCAGAAACATGCAGTAAAAGGTGACTGCATGGATAATAATAACCAAGTTAAAATTTTGCTGGCTGTTTATCTTAAAGAGAAAATAATCCTCAGAAAATAATCCTTCAGTGCTGTTGGAACTAATGCAGCAGTTGCATAACCCCAAGTACATGAGCAGTGCTCCTCTCTTGATGTATTTTTTTGCTCACATGTAGGCATTTTTTTTCCTGGGTTGGGCCCAGAGTGCTCCGTACAAGGTATTTACAGAATAGAAAGGATATCAAGGAGTGGTGAGCTTTCATTTAATTCTAGTTTATCATTTAAAACTGGCAACATTTCAGTTTCTTGCCAGTGTGAGGTGTGTTTATTGTAAAAATACCATCACAAGTCATAGATCATGTTTTTCTGACTATGAAAACAAAATTACCCTTTCACCTCTGCAGGTACAATAGTTGCACCAATTTAGCATTCAGGCATATCAGTGAGGAAGTTCTCACAGTGTCATTTAAATAGTCTCACTCTGTTGCATTTTCCCACAACTCAATTTAAATATCCACCCAGCCAGCTTAGTACTAAAATCTCTTTTTGCTCTGTTGCGGAAAAAGAAATCTGTAATTTACAGGAATCCAGAGCTCTGCATCAGTGAACTCCACAGCTGTGTACTTTCAGACAAGGGGCTGGATTGGATGAGAAGCATCTAGTGGGCATAACAAATATCTTTGGCATCAAGTCAGAAATAACTGGGCAGACCGGTACAGAGACCTTTGTGTTACACAGGTGAGACTTTTATGAACATCACCCTAAGTTGCTCATTCCATCTTGGATGTACAGTTTTCACATACGCCTGTTTTTCATATAATAGATAAAAATAGAGTAATGCTTTTACACATCATACCCTGTAGTGTTGGTTTATGTCCAGTCTGAGACTCTGATCTGCAACACCTCCAGTTGAGAACAATGTTCTCATCATAGCGTTGTTCAAATAAACTGATTTATTCCGGCAGGTCCATTGAGGCTCCATGGAGCGTGAATAAGGAGAGCATCAAACAGACATATACATGGCTGTGTGCATTCAGACAGATGCGTAAATGCTTCTACTTAGAGTACTTGAAAAAGAAACACCCAGCGATCTGCAATCACTATGCAGTTTTAAAAGTGAATTTTGTTTCAAAGGAGTATATGACTATATTATATAGTGCCTAAATAAGGCTGATGGTATACTAAAATTTAATAGGATCTCTAACTCGTTTCCAAAAAAAGGAAGCTCCAAGGAGTCTTATATAGTCTTTGAAAACCATAAATCCATAAACTTTATAAATTCCCCAAAACGGACACATCTATTTAAAAGGCAGTTGATTGCAGCTATTACCAAAGGTATCTAAATGTAAAGCTAAAGCCATCACTACGAATAATAGTGTTTCACACAGTACTTTTTCTGACTAAGGAACACTGAGCATGCAGAGCTGAAATACTTAGTTTAAGATTACACACATGGAGGCACACATCGGGAAACACGCAGTTGTATCTAGGTTCTAGCACGCCTGTGTCCAACTGCAGCCTCTGCGTGTGTGTGTGTGTGTGTGTGAGGACAGCTTAGTATATGTCCTTTGTATAAATGCGTTTATAAAAATATCATCATAGTTCACTTTATGCATCATCATCGATCAAAAGCACTTTGATTCACCTGTAGCTCAGAAAAAGTTAGGATCGCAACTTAAATGTTCGGTGAAGGAACTGAACTAGTGGGTGGCAGTCTGTTACAAGTAGGAACCTTCTGTTTGTGAGAAATATTTGGAGATGCATCTGAAATGTGGTATCACCCTTTCAAAGTCATGACGAAGACTTCAGTAGAGCAATGAATATGTTCCCAACCATTTTCCCGGATCCCAGCAACACTTGTAACAGTAAAATGTGGATTTTGCTGTTCCACTTAAGCATATTCTTCTGTAGATGAAGTACAACATGCTTGCTAGAAATGATACACTATTAAATAGAAGAAATGTGACAGCAGAATCTGATAAAGTTTCACATTACTTGAAATGCCCAAGGGTGTGGCAGCCATGGGT